TTTCAGCAAGTAGCTGTGGATATTATGGGTCCTTTCCCTAAAAAGACCTCCAGAGGGAAACAGTTCATACTGATTCATGTGGATTTTGCCACATGATGGCCTGAAGCAGTAGCTTTAGGGGACGCTACAGACATGAATGTGTGTCAGGCACTAACAGATCTTTACTAAGGTATGATGACCCTCAGAAATCCTTATGGACTTAGGAACTCATTTTCTGGCAGAGACCATGAAATGTCTCTGGGAAGCTCATGAGGTGAAACACCTACTTGCCACTTCCTCCCACTATGCTCAAACAGATGGCCTAGTGGAAAGATTTAATGTAACTTTGCAAGCCATGATACACACATTTGTAAATGAATGCTCCAATGACTGGGACCTGGTTCTGCAGCAGTTGCCGTTTGCCGATAGAGATGGTCCACATCCCAGTTTGGGATTCTCACCCTTTGAACTGATGTATGGCCATGAGGGTAAGGAGGATTAGATCTTATGGAATTAGAGTTCATACAGGATCTGTAGGGTGCAGCTCATGCCTATGGATAGACCTTTTTCCCTTTAATTGCAGAACTAGTGTTTGTCTGCAGAGCGCCTGTGAAATGTCCACTGCAGAGTGTCTGTGAAATGTCCATTTAAGCGACTTCCACTTCAGCTTCCTATCCCTTTGACTGGATTGTTTGAGTAATTGAAAGAGAATGTCGTGACTCAGCAGTGGAGAGGGCCAGTCACGTAGGACAAAGTTGAAAAACAATACATGCAATTGTTTCACATTGGTTTTGAATTGGGACTGTCTCCTAAAAAAAGTACTGGGTCACAGTCTGCTGATAGAGGTGGATATCCTAAATTGCTTTTATCTGAGGATGCTAAACTCTGGGTAATATAGGGACTCTCTGCTCCATTGGGCAACTCCTCGTGATAATAGTTGGAACTATTTAGGCAAGCACTAGTCATCCCTGCAGCCCTAAAGTACTACAGTTCTGAGTCCAGTATCCTCCAAAATAGGATGGGTAAGATGGTCTACATGGTACCTGGTACTTAGGCCCCATGCTGATGAGGGAGACCCCTCAGAGGCCCTGAGTTTACTTCTTGACTAAAGGCTTACTTTGCTGTTTTCAAGGTAAAATGCATATTATACGGCCTGATTTGCTCTAGAATCAATTCTGGAGAGAAGGAAGGTTATGAAGTATCAAGCTCTTCTTTAAACATATACGCTTTGTCTCCTGGTGGAAACTGCTATATCCGCACTGTATAGCTATTCCAGAACACTTTTGGAAATCATGGAATCATAGAATACTAGGACTGAAAGGGACCTCGAGAGGTCATCGAGTCTAGTCCCATGCCCTCATGGCAGGACCAAATACTGTCTAGACCATCCTTGATAGACATTTATCTAACCTACTCTTAACTATCTCAAGAGATGGGGATTCCACAACCTCCCTGGGCAATTTATTCCAGTGTTTGACTACCCTTTTAGATACCTGAAAACTACTATCATGTCCCCTCTCAATTTTCTCTTTTCTAAACTAAACAAACCCACTTCTTTCAGCCTTCCTTCATAGGTCATGTTCTCTAGACCTTTAATCATTCTTGTTGCTCTTCTCTGGACCCTCTCCAATTTCTCCACATCTTTCTTGAAATGCAGTGCCCAGATCGGGACACAGTACTCCAACTGAGGCCTAACTAGCGCAGAGTAGAGCGGAAGAATGACTTCTCGTGTCTTGCTCACAATACACCTGTTAATTCATCCCAGAATCATGTTTGCTTTTTTTGCCGCATCATCACACTGCTGACTCATATTCAGCTTGTGGTCCACTATAGCCCCTAGATCTCTTTCTGCCATATTCCTTCCCAGACCGTCGCTTCCCATTCTGTATGTGTGAAACTGATTGTTCCTTCCTAAGTGGAGCACTTTGCATTTGTCTTTATTAAACTTCATCGGTCCACTATAGCCCCTAGATCTCTTTCTGCCATATTCCTTCCCAGACCGTCGCTTCCCATTCTGTATGTGTGAAACTGATTGTTCCTTCCTAAGTGGAGCACTTTGCATTTGTCTTTATTAAACTTCATCATGTTTACCTCAGACCATTTCTCCAATTTGTCCAGATCATTTTGAATTATGACCCTATCTTCCATAGCAGTTGCAACCCTTCCCAGCTTGGTATCATCTTCAAACTTAATATGCATACATTCTATGCCAGTATTTAAATCGTTGATGAAGATATTGAACAGAGCCGGTCCCAAAACAGACCCCTGCGGAACCACTTGTTATACCTTTCCAGCAGGATTGTGAACCATTAATACCTACGTTCGGAGTACGGTTATCCAGCCAGTTATGCACCCACCTTATAGTAGCCCCATCTAAGTTGTATTTGCCTAGTTTATTGATAAGAATATCATGCAAGACCATATCAAATGCCTTACTAAAGTCTAAGTATACCACATCTACCGCGTCTCCCTTATCCATAAGACTCATTATCCTATCAAAGAAAGCTGTCAGATTGGTTTGACATGATTTGATCTTTACAATCCATGCTGGCTGTTCCCTATCACCTTACTATCTTCCAAGTGTTTACAGATGATTTTCTTAATTACTTGCTCCACTATCTTCCCTGGCACAGAAGTTAAACTAACTGGTCTGTAGTTTCCTGGGTTGTTCTTGTTTCCCTTTTTATAGATGAACGCTATATTTGCTCTTTTCCAGTCTTCTGGAATGTCTCCTGTCTCCCATGATTTTCCAAAGATGATAGCTAGAGGCTCAGATACCTCCTCTATC